GACATTATAGACACAGGATCAACATAAAAATTGCCCATGTTGATATATGAAAAAAAAGTTTGTGTATTCTGCGCAGCCTCAAAGATGATCCCAGCCAAATGCTGGGCACTCGTTGGCGGTGTTGAAATGAACACGAGCTTATAAGACTAAACAATGCGATAGATAACATCACATGGGTGGGATGAAACTACAGTGATGTCTTGATTAAAATGACGTAACGCCGCGGTGACGTCACCGTTTTTTGGCGCCGGCGCGCCCCATCAACTGAAACATTCGTTCATTATCAGTTGATGCGTTGTAGAAGTGGAGGCGCCATCTCTCTTTCTGTTTATATTCAGACGGTAGGGACATTTGTCACCGTCCATTTGAACACAGGATCGGCTCCACTACTTCTTCTGTAGTCTGCGACTCTTTCCTTTATTATCTGGACATATACATTAATAATGTTTTTTTTTATCGTGCAAGTAGTATAAAACAAAACCCAAATCGCACAGCAGGGCAAAGTGCACCTTGGTAGCACAAATGAAACGGCAAGTGTCTCCGTTTGTAGTGTACCTGTAACAATTAGGCACAGAAGACAGCTCGCCCCTTTTAAGAACCGGCAAAGTTGAAAGAAGGCGGACCCAGCATACCGCAAACAAGACGTAAGAAGGTCTGGTCGGGGACAGTGAACCACCTTCAGAACTTGAATCTCGGCATCTTGAAGATTCTTGCTACATATTTATCTCTTAGATGCAGCGCTATGCAATCAATCATTCATACGCTTTTCCTGCTGGCCCACTTGCAAAGACCTCGCTCAAAATGAAGATGAAGTTACGCATGGGAAAAAGTGCAAAGGTTTACGTTTGGTTGGAGGCAGTCCTTGAATCGCAGTAAACGGTGTCAAAACCATTTGCAGGCTTGTGGCATCGTGTCTGTGCTTCCGATCAGCGCGCGACAGACATCAGCTATACCGTCTGTTAAAACAATAAATAAACCTTATAACATAAGAAACAAGTTTATTTTTTTTCTTTCTTCACTCTCCAGGACAAGTCTGCTATGTGTATTACCACGATGCTTTATTCGCAGTCTGGGTGCTAAGCCAATTCTCATCCCAGACAGCTATTAGTTCGTAATCGGCGAGAACTATGCAATTTTTTATTAGCTGTAAGTGCATCGGCGTGTCTAGCTGACGCCAGCACCCTGCACCGACTGTGTGTGTACACCGTGCTCTCCTATGTTGTACATCCAACACCACATGCTACAACTGTTCAATGTCTGTTTGCCGCCTTCATTACCTTCTACTGTCTCGAATCTGTCATCTACGGAGATAGTTCTGAGTTTGAAATGAGCAAACAGGCTTCGCTTTTTTGGTAACGGCGCGCCCTCTATGTCTCGACTTCAAACATGTCACGAACATCGATCTCTTTTCAATGAATCCGTGTTAAGAAGGTCCTTGGAAGTCTGCTAGGTTAGATTTGATCCCCGTAAGCCCGATTTTCAACACCCTGGTGAAGAAAAGTAAACTTTGCTGGTATGACACGTCGACTGGTCTGCGATGCATCAAAGCCCGGTGTGTCCTTATCAGCTTTAGGCGTCTAGAGAAGCAGTTTATTTGGTGTGAAGTGGCCTGTTATCTCTATGAGCTCACCGTATCAAGATATAGCAACACCACGGCTACCTGCGATTACCGCGTATCAATCTCCCCACACCAGACAAGATCAGTTTTAATAGTTCATTTTTGATCACCACCTTTGTCTCAGCGGGTCTTTGTTCTTCTTCCCCGTGTTTTATTGATTTAAAGTTCGATGAGTAAATACGGACCTCACCCTCTTGACAAAAGCAAGTTTTTTCCCCAAGTGTCGTCGGCGTGGCACACAGGACTCCCGGGAACCGAGCCCTGGGTTCTTTATCAGTTTGATATCGCAAAGGGGATCAGTTCAGGCCGCGTGTCACCGCTGCCTTTTGATCAAGGGTGATCAGACATCAATTAGTATTGCCGCTGAGGCGACATCTAGGCGTGTATCAACGCGCCGTGTCGCTCTGACTAGGCCCAGGTAGTCAGTGTGCTTGCCGACTCCACGTCCCGCCGTCCGGTACACCCTCTCCCCTCCCTGCCCGCTGATATTACTCTACCGCCTCCACTGATGATGTTTAAATAAATTACAGGTCTTAATCGATATTTTAGGGTTATTTATCAGTCGCTGTTTTTTTATGGGGGGCAGAGACCGCCCTTGGTTTTGGAGTGACTTGTGTACAGTAGACAAGCTCTGTGACAACACAGACTATAATCGCTTTGGAGTGCCGTTTGGTTGTCTGCCTTGCACCATGAGAGAGAGACCACTTGGCCTAGATAAAACACTATTATCTACTTCCTCGTCTTAACTCACGACCTCCTTTTTCATCACACACAAAAAGGGGAAGATATTTAGCTCCAGTTTTTCAGTTCTGTTGAAGTTCAACTTAATTCGTTGCAGGCGCCGTCACCTGTCGACTAAATTGCTCCATTCCCATGACAAAAGTAAAGAAATACAACTAATATCATATTAGCTGCAGTTCCATTTCAATTTTGTTCTTCCGTTTAGTGCCTCCCGCCCTGCCAACATTTGATTGTTTTATTTTCAGTTTGAAGAAATAAAACACATTGTTTTTGTTTTCTTTCTTTTTTTGGAACCTTTCCCCCCTTAATAAACTGAATTAACTTCCATTTCTGGCGTTGCACCTGCCATGGAAAGTGTCTTTTTCACTTCAGCCCGCCCATAAATTCCATGTCTTTGAACTGATTAGCCTGGGCGCGGGCAATAAATCGCCTCATTCGGCGCTCAAATTCGTGGATCGGTTTCTGGTTTGGAATTCAGGGCCGGCTTGTAATACCACAGAGCTCTATGGTAATACGGACCGATTAGGTCGTCTCAGTTACTACGCCTGTAACGCTCCATTGCAAGTGTTAAACAATTAAGCTTTTCAAGTCCATGATTCGGTTGGGCTGGACACCTTTAAAATTCCCCACAATTGGTAGTTCTAAAATACATCAAAATTGTTACGAAATCTTTTTTTTTTTAATATCCGTTTTTCTGAAATTACTGCACTGATACAGCTGTAACTGTTGATTTTTTTTTTGGGGGGGGGGGCTGGGGTTTTGATGGGCGGCAGCAGGTTTTTCTGAACTTCAATGTCAACAGTAGCCTAAAAATTAAATGAACAGATGTTACAAATTTAAACGATATTTTCGCACTTTTTATAATTATTTTAATTAAAAATGATAGCCAAGTAGTAGTTTTGGATGGGGAAAATTATTAAAAAGCTTTTCCTGTATTGGAGATTATAAAAACTGTCAGTGTAAAAACATAAATTACATTGCTGGTTTCTTCCCTTCTCATTTTTTGATGCACAACGTTAGGTTGAATATTTTATTTCACCGAACAATCGGCGCCTCTAAAAACTCGATATTTTGTCACGGCTGGCGAAATGCGAACCTAATCGCTAGCACATTGTTCCTGCTGGTCTCTCGCCGTATGCGTGTTGCCAATCAAGAATCATTCATTTAGCTTAGACCTTGCGTGCGGATGAATTCGCTCTTTCGCCTTTCGTTTGTGTGTGTGGATCGTGATAAGCCACTTATTTTCCGGTGTTTTATGCCATCGTTTCCCTGTGTTATTGCGATCCAGTCCCGCAGGCTTGATGTTACATTTTACGGTTGTAGGATTATGATACCGTTGGTTTTTGCCACTGAAAAGCCGGAAGCCGTTCGGGCTATTGGCTATCATCTGCACTCGGGGTGACAAGAGAAATTCAGTTTGGATTGTTTTCACTCGGGCTATTAAAGTGTTCATCAAACTAACTATCTCGTGTGTGTGTAGTGTTTTTTTTTATTTGTACACACTCCTATTAGTTTAAGCCAAAGATGTTTCAAATGTCAAAAGTAGTAAAGAGTGTTTCCAAAAAATAATGATGCCTCGTGGAGACTTGGGTACAATACGGAACAAAAGATTGTAAAGGTCTCCACAAGGTAATTTTTAAAGGTGAATAGTTTCACGAAATAGATATATGAATTTGTCTCAAAAATAGAAATTTCCATGGTGTACTTATTTGTCGCAAATTAAAGTATTTTATGTAAGGGATATTTGCTTAGAATTTCAACCCATGAAAGTAATTCTGGTTAAAATCGGAACATTTTGAAAATAGCTTTCGACCCTCTCATGATTTTATACACGAGAACAAAGCGATGTCTCCACAAGGATACAAATTTGAGTATGTGTGGTAATTGTCGATGTTTTTAAGGTCGGATCGAATAATTTTCCTGCCGTTAATTTTTTTGTCCAGGTCGTTCACTTTTTGGTTAATTGTTGAATGAATTACCATTCTGAATGGTTCTTGAATCCGTATCAACAGAAAACAAACTATTTTGAGTGATGACTGTTTGATTGATAGCAGTTGTCATTTTCATATTGTTAATTACCAAGTTCAGCCTCCACAGAAATTGAATTTATAATAGGCGAATTAATGTAATGACATACGACGAAAACATAACAAGGTTGAAAACACCGACATCAACGTTGGTTGAGTCGACGGTTTATTCATGGAATTCCCCGGGGGACCGGTTGCTACCCCTCCTCCATTGCCTTCCCGGTGGCCCGCTAGTCCCTGGACATTTTTTCCCTTCGAGGACGAAATCATTAGAAAATCCCCCGGTCAAAACAGATAAATTGCCGGCCCTTGTTTTTCTCGCTTTCGGTAATTACACGACCATGTGTATTTTAGACGACACGGACATTTCCTGTTGGAGGAGATTTATCGTCATTCGCGTTCAACGGTCTTCTGTGTTTGTGTTTGCTGTTTTATTCAGAAGGAAAATCTTTACGACAGAATATATTAGTTTTGACCGAAATCACTTAGACCAAGAAACGTGTTGAGTTAAAAAGAAATTTCATTTCTGTGTTTGTTCTATAGACTGATTGCAAAGTTTCTTCCTGATCTACACGAATTTACCAGTGTTTTGTATTTTCCCTCTTTTCTAGCAGACGATTTTAAACTCGATGCACAAATACCAGCCTCGATTCCACATTGTCAAGGCCAACGACATTTTGAAGTTGCCATGGAGTCACTTCCGGACTTTCGTCTTCCGTGAAACCGACTTCATTGCCGTCACAGCCTACCAGAACGAAAAGGTATAGTCCGCTTTCATTTTCTATGAAGAAAAATAGCTGTATAAAGAAAAGTTATTAACGGCCCTTTTTGCATTATTTGTTAAATTAGCATGACAAGTTGAATGTTTCCATTCGCGTCCCCCCCCCCCACATTTATGATAAAATTACCTTCTCCACCAATGGCGTCCATCTTCCCCCAATCAATATTTTTTTCCTTGGGAAAAAAATCCTTTTAGGTGATGATGACATTGATGGCCTTGCCTGACTTTCTCGCAGTTTCTCTTAATTAGGGGTTTTTCCCTTGGCAGAAATTAATGGCACTGAAAGCATGCGTGGTGCAGTTATGTCACGTGATGAAGGTACCTGTTAAGGTCGAAGAACTTTAGGGAGAGACATGAATCATTAATTTGTGGGCTTTTTACAGCGCACTTCTTCCAGCGTGGCCCATCATTCAAGACATGGGGCATAATCTATGACACCCGAAAACAACCACAAACTTTAGTTTAGCTGGCACTACAGTGGGGATTTTACATCTATTGCATTAAATTGGCTTTTACGAGACAAAGATGTATTTTCATTCACCAAACTATTCACAAATGGATTGAAAAATGGTAACTAGGAATAGCAAGAACGAATGGAATAGTTTACTTTTTAACCATAGTGCAAGTTATTCATTCCAATAAGTGCGATTTTCAAGTCAGGTTGTCCCGCCGACCCAAGTCCGAATAGTAATGAGAAATGCATGCGTTTTCCGGCATTAGTTTAATACCCGTATTAGCTTTCGGGCCTTGCTTGCATATTATGATAACGGGTCTGTGAGTGACAGACAAATATTAAACAGTTTATTAGTAGTTTTACTAGCAATTTTCCTGTTTATGCTTGGCGCGAAGAAGACTGTGTATATTTTTCCTTGGGGAGACATGGCCCTATCACTCCGCCTCGTAAATCATCAACCTCTCGTTTGTCTTCTTAGAGTTTTTTTCCTGGCCATGCGGCCTCTTCTCCAAAACTCATCTTCTGTGGTGAGCTGTTGTGAAATCTATCACTTAGAGGTGGCAAGTGAAGACTTCTGTGTGTGTATCTAAGAATTTGTATACACTTGACCGTGAGAGATGCGGTGGAGGGCAGGCAAGGCGGACGCCCTAAGCGCGATAAATGCACCCATCTCTCATCGTTTGCTCGACCTGTCTGCCTCTAGCCATACATCTACCATCCCATCCTGTAGCAGGCTACAGTTGGCCTTTGTGTGTGTTCACTTGACACTGATAAGATCTGGCTTAAGCCCCGGCGATTGTCTTATTTAGTTTCATCCGATCAAGTGTGTGCGGATTAAGACTGCCAGAACGGTTGCAGCAGCGGTATCCAAAATGGCGTCTCTTGAAACGAAACGGAAGTGTTCGCAAGATGGCAAGATTTGCTATAACGAAATCCGTATCATCCTGGTTAGCTTTCGTTAACATTTAATAAACACAAAATATAAGGAAAATTTATTATTCACAGTTAAGCAGACGAGCTAGTTTTCACAATGCAGTTTTTTTCTCTTCAACATTTCTGTAGTCTTTAGGTTTGTGGAGGTATCGCATATCACCGGCATGCCGAAAGAAGTGATTGTGTTTGAAAAGTGCATTAAATTCAAAGAATTGGCATAGGCCTATGGCACATCGCGGAGGGGGCTATTTTGCAGACGAACGGCAAAGTCTAGCAATCTTGCAGATATTTGGCCGTAAATCTTGCCATGATTGCCCGCGTCGCTTCTGACTCACTTGCCCTTCCCGGGGCTTCGTTCACGTTTACCTCGCTAGTTTAGACTGGTCGATAATTTGAGATGTTTTGTTTGTCTTCCGGAGAAACATTGGAGGTGGCAATTATAAGCGGTAAATCTCCTCGACAAATCAAAATCATCTTTCATTTCAAAGCTGCAGTTTTGAGGTAAAAAAAAAAGATTGCGCTTTCTTCGCGCGTCTGAAAACGGGCATCACGATTGCGCCAAGCGAGAACGGAACGCTGAACCTAATGAAGTTTGAACAATTTCACATACAACAGACATCAGCTGTTCTTTTGTTAGTTAGAATTACATCGATCACCGAGTTGGCTCCGATGACCACGAACAAATGTGCTTTACAATATTGCGACAAAATATCTTGTCAATATCGACATTTTCTCTCTCGAATTTTTTTTTTCTCTATCAGATGAACAATGTTTTAATGGTTCTTTTTGTGTTGGATTGTGAGCAAATACAATTAATTAAACACTGCATTTGAGCGTGGCGGCCGCGGGTTTGCTTTCAAGCCAGCCGGTTTGGCATTTTGGGGTAAAAAAAAGTGTCAATAATGAAACTGTCGCCAAAAATGGTGAATAATTTAACACCATCGGTCTGTTGCTGCCGTAGGTGGGCATATCACCTTCTATCGACAGCTCTTTTGTTGTCCAAGTAGGTCTGATGTTGACGAAGCCAACCATCACAAACAATCTCGCCTCTAAAAACTGGTCATTACGTTATGAGCATCATCAGTATTGGCATAATTGGAGTTCAGCCCATCATCATTGGCATAGAGTTCATCCCATTATGCCATCTCCTTGTAGCTGATGGATAGTGTGTGCGTACAGGTAGCCCGACTATCCTGATAGTAAACACAGATGTTGTTGGGTGTGCAATCATATCTCATGCTTGGTTGGGTTCCCTGCCTCTATACCGACAGTCCCCTGTCAAGGTCAAAAGTAGTAGGCGCTCAGCTTGTTCAAACTCCCTGGCGCCAGCCGGATTCCATGTGTAGTCGTCCTCAACAACAAACCTCTTACTTCAATAAGAAAAAAATAGAAAGGGCCGTGCAGTTAATTAGCTAAAATGGCGTGAAGCCGCCTAAGTATTTTGTTGACTGGTGTTTTTTGTTGTTCGGAGGTTTTACAAGAGTGGTGGGATCGAGCCTGTGGTGGGAATCAGTTTGCAGTTTGTGGATTCTCCAGCCGATGATCTTGATTAATTTTAATTGATAAATGCCTAGCGCGTGTCGCACACAGCAGGGCAGATAATGCGTGCATGAAATTAACAGTAAGGATTAGTCGTCGTAGGAGATGGGCCAGTGAGTTCATATCTTTCTCGTTCTGTTTTGGGTTTTCGTGATACGGTAAATTGACCTTTTCAGTTTTTCTGTATTCTATGTACTTGTATCGTTTTGATTTTTTTTAAAAATTCAGTTATATATATTGAATTGAAACAGTGAGATCTTGCCTATTGTGACATGTATCGATTAATGAATTGATTTTGTGGAGGAGTAGCACATTTTGATCAGGTGTATAGTATTGCCCTTTTGTATGTTTCGTTCCTGATACTTGTGCCTAGTCGTACTCTGGAACAGTGATGTATTTTAACAATTGTTAATGGACGTTTCGGCGAACAATAATGGTTTTGAGTCACATTGAAATATGGCTCGTGAAACATCATGTCTGTGAATACAGTCAGGTGATTAAAATATTGGTGATGAATACTGATATAGAATCAAGGAGCAATATTTCAGAATAATGTCTATTCAAGCAATTCACAAAGTGCAGCGGTGATGAGGCGTAAAGACACATGCACTCTTGCAACAATTTGTAATGGTCAATCTCGTCAAAAGGTAACGGTTTCTCTTGCACGCCGCAAATGGAAGATAATGGGCTTTGGGCGTCAGTGCCGTATGAATGACTGAACGAGAATATCATCTCTGTCTAACGGGTCTGGTGTCAGCCATTCACGCCTAGGTGATGTGGCCAATCTACCCTCGGCCTACACCTGTGCACCTATCGGTCATGCAGTCAGCACCTTCCCTTTAACACGGAGGTGCTGCCTTCATTTAAGGGAGAAAATCGTTCCGAACGGGCGCGAAACTTGCGCTCAGGCCGGGCCGCGAGAAGATGACTTGCCTGGCCGTGTGTGATATGCCTGCCACCCCGTTGCCAACCCTATCACCTACCAGGGTCCCTAGCGGGGCCAACCCAGGCGCCGTCGCCCTTCCCCAAGTGGCTGGCAACCATCCCGCTGGTGAAAATCACTCCTTCTAATTAGCTGAGGAATCTATCCCTGCAATCCCCGTGTAGCTAGGTTTGCCAGACGGGCCAGCCAAACGTGGCAAAAGACTGCCTGGCTTGCCTCTTTCCTATCATCCCATTGCTGACATTAATGGAGGCGATTCTGCCTCGTGTTGCGTGATCGAATCAAAAACCGCACACAGTCTCCCGCTGATATCACGTGCTAAAACACTGTTCGCGCCCCGGTCGAGTAATAACTGCGTCAGGATTCAATTCACACTCATATTTGCCGCAATTTGAAGTCTTTGCAAACTTGCCATTAACAGGTCATAAAATCACCAACATTGCATCTATATGTTTTTCTCAGACCAGGGAAACGTAAGCCAATCCTAGACTGTCAAGGCTCAGTTGACACCTACTCCCTGTAATTAAAAAGAAAAATCAACGCCGTCGCAATTGAATAATACACGAGTGAGATGTTGATGAAAATTTCATCGCCGTACCGTGAGTGGCGTTATAATGTTATACACCGAGTTATGATGGCATTAAAGCACAAGTTCCAAGTGAAATCGAGCAGGGTGACGGCGTCTCACTCCCCCGACTACTGGCCCCCTAGAGCCTGCTCCACTACGCAACCTGTGTCGGTAATCGAGTGTTGCGTGCCGAAATTACTCATTTTATTTTACGGTAGGAACCCCTGCTTGTTTTTGGGCGAAGAGCATCAAAATGGCGAAGATCTAGAGGAATAAAACCTTCAACAAAAACAGCCTATGGTAAAGCTTGACATGCGAACTTTCCGGGTGTACCGACCCTCAGTTGCCTCGTTCTTTATCGCTGTAGTGTGCAAGAGAAGTTGTTTTCTCATATTTGGAAACCATGGCGTTTTGTGACCACCGTAGCGAAGAATTAGAATTGTTAATAATATCCGGCAACTCACTCATTCATGAAGTGTTACATTTTGAAAAGTGTTGATCGCAAGGGATTTTTATGAGTCAGAAACACGTTTTTGTTTTGTTTCGCATGGGCAAATATTTTACCTTGTGGTTTTGTGTCACAACTAAAAATGTTGCTTAAAGCGGTAATTTCATTCAGGATTATTATTACAGAACTGTTTTCAAACGTTACCAATAAATTAATTTTATTTCAACATTTGTTTCGTACAAATGTTTTGGTTGCCATTCATTGGAAACTATGCAAATTAAGTATTATTTGTGTGGCCAGTTGTGAGCTTTTTAATACTACAGGCATTTGGCAAGTGATTGCGCGTTTGGAACGAATTTAAAATGTAGTGTCCATATACCCCTTAAAAAACAAAAGGACAGACGCCACACTGTACAGCCACAACGAAGACACTCAAGTAAAGAAATGGACACAATCTCTGCTGATACCTTAGGTTTTGTCTTCAGTAATTAAGGAATGTTAGCTGAGATTAATTTCTTAAATTCTTGTGTGTTGTACTTTTTCCTTTGGCTGACCGATGATTATTGTCGATGGGATTTTGACCTTTTCCGCCCTTTCCATTCCCGCTAACATCCCACGGAAGTCCGGTTTCCAGTATGGTGTCTCCGCCTGGTCCTACCGCGTACTCGACCAGCCCTGTCCCGGTGGCTCCAGCCCGGCCAACCGGCCCCACACCAGGAACAAAGAACAAACCACGCGCAGCTTGCCATCACGTCGGCTCCTTTTCATTCCTTTATTTGCGCAATCTGTGAAACACACAGAAGCATTTTTTTGCTGTTTACTGGTAAGAATTACGTCTCGCTCCACAGGAAAGGTGAGGGAGATTCAAACAGCCAGACCACTCATTAATAATGGGAATTTAATTGGGAAAATGGTATTCACACGGATGATTTCACTATGCGGTCGGTGGTACAGCAACTCAGCAAGAAGTCGGCACTCGGCAAAGGTGTGTGGGAGTGGAAAGTAGAAAGTAGTAACAAGTTTTAAAACCGGAAATGCATTGTGGAATGGATTGGCCACGGCCGGTTTAACTTGAGGTGAACCCGTTAAGCGTGACTCAGCATATTGTTTCTGCCTCCACTTCCCGTATCCTCTGCCGCCATCTTGGTGCCGGACCGTCCATTTTGGTTCGTAAATGGGTCTCGTGTTTCTATGGTGGAAGTAGTTTCAAGAGAGTGCTTTTTGGCACTTGAGGACACATCTCAAATGATGGAATGAAGAACACAAGTCCGTCTTTTAGAGGGATGGATTGTTGTTGGCGGTAACTTGAGATCGGCTGCAATAATTTCGGATCTGTGAGCGGATCTGGTTGGCTCGTCTTGCCGGCTCAGCGAGCTTTAACCCAGCCTTTGGGTAGGGGGGAAAGTAGGCTGATCCCGTAATACATGGCGTCTCCTCCTACTTCTCCCTATCGGACGATCCGTCCCTCTATTCGGTATGATTCTCTTGATATCAGCACGGAGTCTGACCGGTAATACGTGTGGTAACACAAGCTCCTACTGTCTGGACCTGGGATCGTTTTTTTGGCGCGAGCGTCGGTTGGTTTCCGGCACGAGAGGGTCTCCACGGCGTCTCCTTACGTCTGCTCACTGATTACTTTTTCTCTCTCAAAGCCTTACATATTTGCCACTCCCCCTGTCTTTCCTACGTCATTGTTTTTGCCTATTTTCCCCCTCAGTTCTTCCAATATCATATTGATTGCTTCTGTCCCTGTTTCGAAACTTTCAGGTTGATTTGCGCTTTAGTTGTATAGAATAAGAACATATGCCGTATCATGTACTTAAGTACCCGTGTCAAATAATCTCCATCAATTTTTAAGGTATCTTTATGCCTGCAAATACAAAGGGAAGTAAATTTTACTCTTTCGACTACTATTAATAGTATTTGCAAGAAGTAGTATCTAGTGAATCGTGTGTTGTTGAATACTTATCAACTGTAAACGTTTGTGTATGCGCTCGATCTTGATATTGACTGACATTTTGTAACCTTCCTTTTTTCTTTCTTTTTAAATTCAACAACAGGTGACACAGCTCAAAATCGACAACAACCCATTCGCGAAGGGGTTCCGGGATCAAGGGACGGGCAAACGAGAGAAGAGGTAAGGAACTTTCAAACTGTCGACCTTGGTGTGAAACCCTAAATTCAAAACGCGGCGATGTTTTATCGCTGTCGTTTATCGGCTGCTGTCGACAAAAGCTGCCTACACATACAAACACTTCAAATGTTCCCATTTTTGTATTAATTTATTAGTCGTCAGATCTGTTCGTCACAAGGAAGTTTTGAATTTCATAACATGTCAGATTTCCATCTGAGGAAAACATACAAAACGCACTGAACTGAGAATTGACAAAGCGTCGCAAGTGCTATAATGATCAAAGATACCATATCCGTGACGTGTAGTCGGGTCCCGTGTACCGCCGACATGTACCCCGAGGGCATGGGGCCGTACAAAGGGGAACTGGGACAATAACACACCACTACAAAAGGATTTACAAACATAAAAAAGCACAAATATGTAGAAAGGAAACGACAGTGTTGATTTGATCGTCGTTGGTTTCGGTCTAGTTTGTCGTTACGCGTCGCCTGGCATGTACTTTTCCCCCTACCTGACAGTCGCAAAAAAACCGTGAATTTCACAGAAAAAAAATACTGATAACAATAAATGGATTCGACTGTTTTTAAAAATCACCGGTTGATAAATTCAAGCAGATTGAATGAATTCTATATGCCGATGTCGAGTTCTATTTTAGCAGAATAAATGTAGCATTTCTTATTGTTTGTGATAGGCAAACGTGTTCACTCAGTGCGACCATGTACATGTATTTGTATATCTGTGTTGCCTGTGCTGAGTGTATGGAAAGCAAATAAAATAAGTGCTTTCGTTTCAAAGAAAATACTTTAAAAAAACACATAGAGAAAGGCATGCAGTTAAACATGCAATGATGTGTTTTCCAATTAACCTCTGTACCGTAGCGTAATGCCGTGTTTGCTCAACACCATGTGCTGGAGTATTTCCCAGATCAGAAGTTAAGAAACAGAAAACCGTTTGTGAAACAGATGCAGTCGATAGCTTGTTGTTTACCCAGCAGACACCCTTCAAAAACTGTACCGACTGTAAACAAACAAGCTGATACAAAAGGCTAAGGCATTGCAGATAAAAATGTATTTCCAACTTTTCCCGCAACTGTTTAATCTAATTAATTACGTTTGGTTAAAACAAGCGGCTGACGAGGTATGAGAGTGAACGACCAAAATCTTTGCAGATGTTGAATTAACGTTAAGAAATAGGTTAATAGGTTGTGAAAGCCTTATAGTACTATGTTGAGCACATCAAAGATAACGTCATATTATTGTATAACGAATTCTCGTATACTAAGCGCAAAACTCTGTAAGCTGTTTGTTTCTGAAGAAAAAGTCCTGGAAAGAAACTGTCTTAGAATTTGTAACAATGAAACACTACGTATTTTCTTTATGTAGAAGGCTTAACCCATGATGACAAACCTATGAATTACCATTGCTGAAATTTTTGTCCTTAAAATGAAACACTAATTATCCTGATCCCTTAATTATCCCATTGTGTGCCTGGGAAATCCATGCCTCATTATCGCTGGAAGCTCGGCGGCTGTTTCATGTCAAGTTCCGCTTTATGTCATTTTTCTACAGGAAATATCCGTCAGCAAGTTACGACCTGGACCACAGGGACCCGGATGACGGTGCTAGCGATCAGGAACCAGAAGCAGGTGAAGTCAGCACGACCAACTCGGAAAAGCACGAAGACAAAGGTGAGAGAACAAGGCCCAATTGAGAATGTGAACCACTTCGGATGGCTTTGAAAGATAGTAGTCTGTGATTTAACCCAAGTTGAAATTTTGACTTTTTTAAAATTGGCTTGAAGACACCGGATCACACCGTTTAAGAAAAGCCTTCGTACGGTGACTACATAAATAAACTTGTATTATTAGGGAGCCTATGCCTCATCTCAGAGAAAATGACAGAAACCGATGTTGATTTCGAGGTGCATTTTTTTATATAAAGAATGAGGCTTAAAGCTTATGCATACATGGCCTGTTAAACACTCATTCAATCTGCCGGGTGCACCTCGTTAGCAACCCGAACACGCACTGAACCACATACCAATTAGCCGCATTAGGCCCCACATCAACCTGCCACCGAATATCCGATTATATCATATCCGATTATTGAATAACCGGTTTCAAAAACATATCCGAAGCTAATCCTGGCTACAGCCCCCCCCCCCCCAATCCATTAGTGATTCACTCATTTGCACCTGACAAGGTCGGGGTTGGAGGAATGATGGCCTGTTAGCGGTGTATTGTTTCACGCTGAGTGACTGTATAATTGAGGATCCACTTACTCAATTTCGGCTCAACTTGATAATATGCAGTCCTACTACAAGAGACACAATTTTATTTTTTAAGAAATAATATTTTTTTTATTATGATATGAAAAATCTTATGTGAGTCATAATAAGTTTTGAGTGACGTGCCCCAGAAAAATGAAGTGGTCTGCCTTGTGTCCCCTATCGGAAATGTTAACTGATTTGCAGTTTAACCATGCGCTGGGTTTTAAGATTGGCATAACTGTTATGAATGATTGCGACTACACTTAATATTGCATTGAATATCTGAAATGTCAAAGCCCAGGAAAAACTATAAAAACTCTCAGGTGGAAAAAATGGGAATAAATACATCATTACAACATATGAATTCATATTTCTCTCTCAAACTAATCGATATCTTTGTCAACCTGCAATTGATGTGTTTAAAACCGAGTAGGACTCCAGTGAACGCTCTGTTTGCTCCTTTCTTGTTATGTTGATGAGCTAAAGCAAATTTCAGGCACTATCCTGAAATTTTTAGTAGATGAATAAATGTCAAATTTTGTTGTTATACCCATTAGCTCTGTGGCTTATATACGGTCACTTGTAGCCATAAGTAGGGGCTTTTCCTTTCAAATAATTTCGCATGTTTTTTCTCATAATGCATTGACTATTTCTAAGCTAGGCTACACGGTCAGTTTTGATTATTTCTTGTTCTTTTGTTGTTCTTTTTCTTCAGTTCTTTCACATCACGAGAGAGACATAGCCGCTAGACTGGCTGCAGACCATGACGAGGTCACGGAGCTGCTTCGCCGGAGAGCCGAAAATGAGAGACGGTGCCACGAGAGTAAGCTAGAAGACGTGGAGATGAGAGACGTCAGCCGAGAGAAGGTCCCCACCCTGGGGGACAGACACCCTCACGAAGACACAGCGGGACATGGAGGCAAATCAGACACTGAAGATCGCATCACGGGTAGCCGCAAACCAGAGACCGGTCGGGAATCGGATAAGAGTGACTTGTCATCCTCATCAGGTCCGAAGAGCGGTGGATCGCCTGGGTCTTTGCTCAACCCATTCCATGCAGCAGCTACAGGCCATGGCCCTCATCCACCTGTGGTCACACCGGTCTATCCGACCCCACATCCGTTTTTCCTGCATCCTCAGATGGCTCTACCCGGTAGCGTTGCCAACCTTGGAGCCATGTCTCACATGATTCCCTTCGTCTCACAATCGTCTGGTTCCTACTCACCATCCTCACATCATTGTCTGGACGTTCATTCTGCATTTGCCCTGAGCGCCCATCAGAGCCTTCTGGCTTCGCAGTCTAGTCTTGCCGCGTCTGGTTTTGGACTCTACTCAGACCCTTCAGCGTTAAGCCAGGCCTACGCGAGCAATGCCTGCACTGGTGCAATATTCAGCGGTCACCCGCGATTCAGGTTTTCGCCCTATGCCTTGCCGGCTACAAGTACGACAATGGTGACCACGGCCAGTCCATTGGCCAGCACGCTCCCCTATGATAACTCTCTTCACTCCTCTAGTTTGTTAGGACATTCGGCCACTTCACCTACAATCAGCACCTCAAAGAGCTCGAGCAGCCCCGGCGCTTCAGTAGTAAGCTCGGCAGCTAGCGAGTTGCAGAGTATACAGAGGATGGTCAGTGGGCTCGAAAAGGAACCTAAGTGACGCTTGCAAGACAAGTCATGACGTCAACTGCAGATATAGATAATTATAACTACTTTGATAACTAGAGACAAATTATAATTGCACAAAGAAATTTAACAAGGTATATTGAAGTCAAATGATAAATTATCCTGGTAGACTACAAGAAACCAAGTGTAAGATTCTTATTGAATATCACTCTGGATTCATGGAAATCCTCTGAAATACCCAGTTATATTGATCTCTTTTTCAAACTTTGATATCATAATAATTATTGATGTGGGCCAACAGTGATCAATTTGTTTCATATTTTTGTCGTAGGCCTAGTGGTGCTTTGTCTCAGTATTAAACAAATCAGAACAAGAAGAACTCAAATGCAGACTTACGAAATGGCTTTCAGTGATTGAAGCCGACCTGTAGCACAAACGCTTAATGTTGAAGGTTTCGTGCGCTGTGGTGTTCCGTTTAACAGCAAACCTCACAGCGCGAGCTATTCCACGTAGTTGTTTGTAGCAAAAAGCCCTGCGTAGACACAGAATAACAAATTGATTTTCTCCATTCGAATTGACATTTTCTTGAAGTTCCTAGTCCATTTTTGAAGTAGCCCTGCTCTGGGTGCATGGTTTTTCTTTTGTTTTTTTTCTTCTGAGAGCGACATCAGATCCAGATGAGGAGGTGATTGTTATTCAGTCCTAGAGATCATGTGAAATCGATGGCCGTAGCGTCATTAGACCCCGGGATAGATCTCCAGTGACTCCCGTGTCTGAATGGAAGGAGTCCTGGGATGAATTCCCGTCAGTCGCCGACTTATTGACAGGGTGTTACACGATCAGTTTGGCGTCGTACAGGCCACAGTCTTGACCCGAGGTTTTTTCTAATTGTCGGATTCTCGATTCTGAAATTTGGGTCAGAAACATAACTTTTAGGGTGTTCAAAAACCATGGGGTTTCGGAAGGGGAATGAAGCGATTCCTGCTGGCTGGGGAGAGTTTACGACGCATTCAACTTGTTGCCATAAGCTTGGTTTAATTCAAAAGTAAATGTTTTCAGTATCCCATCCACAAGGATGTGTTTTGCTGTAGGAATCAATTTGGTTAGCGGATGCATGGCAACTGTGTTGGTTTTACTTTTGATGTATGTGTAGATTGTTGCATTTGTGCAAATTGTTTTCGATGGAAATTGTTCTCAGACCGATATAAGTTATGTAATCCTTCCAAAAAGGGATTCATCCTCGGCGTTATGTTCACAATACCAAGGATATACTAAATTAAAGTGGAATTTCGAAGTAACTGTCAGTTCTTTAGCCTGTAGAAACCGCGCAAGAATCGATTGAAAATACCACAGGTGTTGTCTTATTCGATTATCAACGAAACTGAACGTTTTCCTGATATGCGATATGCGTCTCATTTTTATTAGTGAAATGAATCGGGTATTAATAAATTAAGATCAAATTGTTTTGCATAATGCTGCCTTGGGTGCGCCGCCTTTTAATATAAGGTACGAACGGTAATAGTTTTTAATTTAAGTAAAAATATGAATAAAAAAGACTCAAGAAAACCATTGTACATAAACTTTAAATGGTGTTGGATATATTTATGTTTTGTAAGATAGATACAAAATTACTGGCAATTTCTGCAAGTAAACAGAGTTGTTGTACATTCAGGTTATTTATGAGATAGTTCGTTAATATATTAAAATGCAGTAAATGTTATAGTAATGTCGTCCGCCAAGAACAAAGAATATTAAATTCAAACTAATGCATAATTAGTGATCCCTGTGCAGAGTTCTCGTTGACCTCAAGTCAGACAACGTGTCATGTGCCAAAGGTCAACCGGTCAACCTTTAGTTTCCGGGGTTAAATGAGCTGACATTTGACCTGGATTGGTTCGATTCACTTAAAACTGCTTTCATAATAAAAAAAAACCCAATTTTTTTTATTAGTCGACACATTTAGGCTAATCCTGAAGTCATTTAAAACTGACCCATTAAAATTTAAGTGACTTTCATTGTCTATTTCCAAATGAGAATCAAATTTGCTTTCAGAACAAACAAGGCAATATTATTATTCATGTATAGATTCACAGTCTGCTTTTTCTCTTGTCAGTATTCTTGCTATTCTTTTTTTTTTTTTGGTTCTTTTTTATTATCTTCGTGTGGTGTTTATTAACAAGCCGCAGAATCATTATTCTTATGTGACTGTCATAGAAATCTTGTCCTCTTAGTGTACATTTTGTACTGTATATTGAAATCCAACTCTAGAAATTGGAGGGGAATTATCAGACAAAACGGAGTATACCTCTGGTGGCGATTTACCATTAAAAGCCCTCCAGCGGGCAGTGCCAAATGATTGAAAAAGTGAAGTTTGGTGTCGATCTTAGTCTTATTGTCTACTGTCTGTCTGCCGTCTGTCTGCATTCTAAAATTAGTTTTTGAGAGAACGTCATGTGTGTGAAAAGGGTCTAGAAAGGTTGATGAAGAATGGTTGTGGGTTGGGAAAAGATACTGTGCATGAATCGAAAGGCAAATTGGAGAGAATGCTCGATTTAAAAAAAAAAAACCCAAGCTTTTCATGATGGGCAGTCAAATCCTCAAGATCTGAGCATAAACGGATTTTGTGTGCGTGTGGTTTGTTGGGTGGATTTAGTCGTTTTGTTTTTCCTGGGTCTATAATAATACATGTACATGTAGTGTGTATGGTTAACACTAGTACGTCTGGGTCTATAATAATATGTGTATGATAATGATGACGTTGGTGATGATAAAGTACCAAGGGCCGAGTTGAATTGTTTGCAGGACACACCGATATCCTGGTGCATGTGTTAACGGTGATCATTGTACAAGATGGTCATACACTCCCCAAACTCCTCCCCCTTCCAAGTCTATATTCACCCCTCCCCCTTCCAAGTCTATACTTCCCCCTCCCCCTCTTCTCCGAATTCCCTTGAGAACCATGTAGCAGCATGTCTGTGACTGACAAACTATCTAATCGCGATATTATCAATGAACTAGGTGACACATTATATTTGTTGTGAATTAACTGGTCATCGACTCCTAAGGGGGAGAGTGGGGGAACCGGGCCCAGTTAGCGCGTGAGTCGAAACAGAGACCCGAGGAGCCAGCGCTTAATACACCGACGAGTGACACTAGCAATACCGCCAATTTGTAAACGGAAAGACATCTATTAGGGCTGAAGGGGTATCGAGGCACGGTCACGTTGGGTGCTTGGTTCAAGCGCGGACCGTGCTTTAAAATTCACAGAATTTTTTTTTTAGGATTTTTTTTTGGGGGGGGGGGATTTGTGTGTTGTTTGCAAGCCTTGCTTCTTTGAACTGAAATGAGGACCAAAATAAACCACTAAGTATTTTGCTTTTGAGTTTTCTACAAACACAAAAGGTTGTTGAGTTGAGCCATTTGTTTTCAATTATTCTCTGACCTCGAACGTAAATGATTAAAAATATGAAATATTCCTAGAATGACAATTAGATCTCCAACATGTGGAATTTTTAACTTTCTTGTCGTCATTGTACCATTAAACCTTCATTATAGGTTTGCCTTATCTTAAAATGTTCCGACAATTTTGTTTTAAGGTACCAAGTTGATGTTAAGCCAAAATGTGGAGCTGGCTTTTGGGCTACATGTGCCTGCCAAGGAATTACATGTATATCAAACGTTTCGGGTTCTGGACTACGGTAGAACTGTTACTGATATTTTGAAGTTGCAACAATTTGCGACTCCTGATATGGGCTGTTACAATGTTTCTGCCAACATTTTGTTATGAAATCCTAGATTTCGTACAGAAAAACCTCTATCCAGCAGGTTCATTTGTGATATGATTGGTTCTCCTGCTTAATGTAATATCAGAGTTAAGAGAACTTTCTTCGAAGTTTTCGTGGGCGGCGAAAATTAGCAACGCGCCAGCAGCCAGCCGAGAATTTGGTGACCTCTGGTTTGTCAGAGAAACACCGAGTATTTCCCTAAAATGCTCGGGGAATAGGACAATTTCCCCTGTATGAGTGACTCACAGAGGGAGATGCATACGCATATCACAACTGGATTGAATATACCGCAGCGAACTTGGCTATACGGCATGCATGATCGGCTGGGACTTGCAAAGTGCGTAGTTAAAGTCCTACACAAGCTCAGGGATGTGCACGGTCGATGCGATCGCGCAAATTCGAAGTGTCATCTGTAGACTCCACTTCCCAGATTGATGAACGGATTAAACTTGTCCGATCTCGTGTATTGCTATTTTTGACACAGATTGTTTCTGATCGCTTATGTAAACAAGTGGTTGGGGTTATTATGATACAGAGTGATTCAAAAAAGAAGGCAGAGATACCGCAGTAACTGCATTTCGAAGCAAGGCGTTTTCTTCACACCAGTTGTTAGATTTAAAGTTGGAGTTCCTTTATTTCGTGGTAAAAAGTAAATGCATTGGTTCTATAGTTTTGTTTTCCTTTTGCTAAAAGCCCACAAGTTTTTTTTGTTCTTGACTTATGAAAAGCAAATCACCAGTAATTTTCTACGGTGAACTTATACTATCTTTAGGGCTGCCGATTATAAATAAATGGCATCTAAGCCATAATCTTGAGATAAAGGTGACAAAACTTTAAAGAACAAAACCCAGAGAGGGTGGGAAAAATGAAGGTGCACTCGGGAGCAAAGCTATTAAGATCGCGGAACACTCAGCGGTGTTTAACGTGCATTACACCTACTAGACGTACTCGTGGGAACATTGTGTATTTATAATGGGAAATTGGCAACTTGTTACGCCATGGGCCTAACATCATAGCTGGCTGGCTGGGCATTCCTAACATTAATCAGGCACAGGTTTTGACGTCGAAACCCTCACTCGGTCTAGTAGGGTGGGATATGGTGTGGGATATGGTATGGGATGAAGCCAACCATATCGCTGGGTAAGATGATGAATAAATTGGTAGGTATAAAAATACCAGGAAGTGTTAGAGTGTTTGAGCAGAATTAGGCCTACTTAATGCTGGGACGTGTCAATGACTTCGGCATGGCACACTGAGAAAATGCCTGCTATAATGGCTCAGCCCCAAGGACGTGGAGGGAATCACGTATTTCTCAGTCCAGAATTCGGTGCGAGACGACCCCGGCCGTCTATGTAGGTCTCTGCCGTTGTAAACCCATCAGCGGAATGGTAAAAAATCTTGGTCAATGCCGACACAGGGTCGATGTACAACCAGCACTAGCTGTGGCCTCCGTACAGCAGGCAACCGTAGTCCCATGAGAGAGGCCAGCGGACGGTGCAACCTCTGGCGTCGGTGAAATCTGTGCCGCTTGACGGGGGTAAGTATCCGGGGTGAGCCAGTGACCAGGAAATTACAAGCGCCTGCGTTATATCATCACAACCCATGACAGGCGGCACACTTGTACTTACACAAAGTCATATTTCAGGCTCAATTTTTCCAACATATGTATGATTAAATACTAATGTGTGGTTTTGTTGCTACATGTATACACAGCGTTACAGGGGGGCTTGTGGGGAAATGGTTTGTGGTGACCCGGAGTCGCTTATGCCGGGCTTTTTTATGGCTTGTACCGAACCGATAAAAAAAGTCAAACAGGAGGGAGTTGTAAAAGGGTGTGCCTTCTGCCAATGTCTGGTTTGGTTTAAATCAAATTACTTCAAGACTTCTGTACAGGTTTATAGTAAAAACGATTGAAACTTAGACAAGAGGGGACTTCTGTGCCTTGAAATCAAACAACAATCAATACTAGTATATGCGATTCCCAAAAACGAACAACAGCATTTTCAAAGTGTGGCATTGATGACGGCTTTAAGGGAATACACAACATTTGCAAACATCGAAAAATAAAACTACCAAGTTTTTAAGAAATACCTTACTAGGATGTTGGTAAATGACAGTCTAAAGCATCCTGTAAAATTATGGCACCTGGTGTGAAGCCATTTTTAAGAAAATGGTATTTTTGTATATATTGCCAACGGTGGTCGTCCGACCACCGTTGGGAAAAACCTAACTATATTTCAACTACTGCTCCAAAGTTACCTTTTTTCAGTCCAAATTTTGTTTGGTATTGGTTACATGTTCATGAACGGGTGCAGGCCAGCTAGACTGGTTCCCTCACCTTACAATTTTCTGGCAACTATAAATTGATCCATTTTATATTTAGTGGAGTCAGGGAACCAGACTACTTGAACAGTTTTGTTTTTCTTGGTTTTTCCAGCATTTTCGAACACAAAACTTCAAACATGTCAGTGTAACAATATTTGATATATTATACTAACCCCTCAAATACTCCATTTCTGAAAATTACAGCAAAAGCCAATGATGTACATTCCCTTTAACTTTCTTGAAGAGTTAGAGAGATAACCAGACATGTTAAAACTAAAAGCTACAACCTCAGGTTAGGTTTTCCGTCAAGTCAAGATAATGTTAACTGGATTTTTGTCCATACCCGTGGGCGGCAGGCTGCCATAAACCTTACAGGACATGGGCACTGACGGAATTTATATGCCATTTTACGGCCCGGCCCAACACTGACTTCCTTCATGTTTTTCAATTTCGTGTTATAAGGTTGCATGTGTTCGGGAACTCTTAATGTAAACCAATACAATATAAATTTCTCATTAGGAAAAGTATCGATGTACATAGAGAAGCAATGGGGTGGCTTATACAACACTTGTGAAAAAAAATCTGTTATGGCAAAAATTGTAAGTATCAGACATCAACCTACCAAAATGTAAACAACTAACTGGAAAAAATCCTGCTTTGCGAATAACCTCGATTCTAGTACCGACCCGAATACCCGCATGTATGCTCGATACTTACCGACCACTAATCGATTCTCAGCCGTTGTTATCTCGGCCGGTGGTTTTTTTCCCCCCTAAGAGGAGACACTTGACGGTCACCTGTTCATATTTGTTTTCGTTCACTCGAGTCGAGGACCCCAACATCTCAATGGCGCCATCATTTTGATATCAGTTGTGATAAATTGATTAATGACTTGGTGATATAGGCGCGAAAACTGGTACCCACCAATGTACATTGTACATGTACTCCCGTCCCAAATAACACAGGCTGTGTGAACGTCTATTAACCGCAACCTTACCGTTACCATATTACACCAATGTGGCGCTTTACAATTTCATGCATGCAGTCTCTCCCTTCCACAAAACACTGTTACTTAAAGTGTTAGCAGTGGTATTAAATAACAGGGTGTACTCATATTAGATGGTGGCAGAAAACTCGAAAAGTCGAATCCAGATTTTGATGGTTAACGATTCTATAAAAGAGATAAGAGTTCATGTTTTGAAGTTTTGACGATTACCAATTTACCAGGTATACCGTATAGGCACAATATGGATTGAAAT